GTCTGGACAAAGGCGACAACGACCTGTTTGCCTCAGACTGAGCCTCGGGCTGCCACTAAGAGGCAGATGGTGTCTCTCCGGATTCTTCCACGAACCCACCATAGTTCCGCGGCCGGCTGCAGTTGGTGGCCCCTCTCAAGAAGCCTCCAGAGGTGGCGTTCTAACGAGGAAAGGCACAGCTAGACGGGCATCCCCACAATCCCGGGACTTATCCACTCCCGCCAGGCCCCATCCAGAAAAGTTTGTCTTAAAAAAAACGAAACAGGAAGTGCGGTCGCGGCGGGGGACTTCGAGGAGGCCTTGACCGTGTACTTCAGGCTTTGGGGCAAGGTGGTGGCAGTTCCTGGACCTCTCCCTGCTCCTTCACCCCATAGGCGGGAGAAGCCAGCTTCACCCAGGCTGCAAGAAGGAGGCGATAGGGGACCCTAAGTGAACGCCCGGCCCCGAGGGATGGCGCGCTGAGCATTTTTGCGCTCTACGTGAGACCCCCAATACATCCTGCGCCAGCCAATGGCCCCGCGCGGCTCCCTCGCAGCTGACCGCGCGGCTTAAAAAAGAGAGGATCGTCCTGATCCACCTGCGATCTCCTGACTCCCCTGGACTAGGACCTGGCCCAGTCACGCTTTCGTCCGCTCCTCTCCAGCAGGGGCTCGGGAGTACCACTGGCCTTGCGCCTTCCCCCTCAGATCTATCCCTCATCGCCGCGCTGCAAAGACTCCTCTACTTTGTGAGGCGGGAGTCCGTGACTCCTCCAGCCCCCGCACCCACACTGAAGGTCCGGCCAGACCAGTGGGTAGCGGGTACCCTGCCACCTCTTTTGCCCGCGTACCAGTAGGGACAAAGACCCGGGAACTCGCAAGTTTGCACCGCGCAATCCTCGGGCCAGGAAACAAAGGCGGGAGGGGGTGCGGTGGCGAGAAAGGGGGAGGGGACCGAGAACTAAGCACGGAAGACACAGACCCGGCGACAGTAGAAACTGCTTCACGCTCCGTTCCTTCAGGCTCCAAAGCAAAAAGCTATAGTCCGGAAGGAGGCCGAGAGCGAAATTAAACACCCCCAGGGGATGGAGGTGGCAAAGAAGAGAGCTGGAGGAGAAAGGGAAACCGAGTCAGTGCAAAGAGAGAAACAAAAAGGACAGAGGACGGTGCCTCGAGGAGCTCAGCGGGGGTCCCGGGCTCCGGCAGACCCGCCGGTGACGTGCTGTCCCGGCGTTCGCTGGCGTGCGCAGGGTGCTCGCTGCCCCCCAGAGTTCCCTAAGGCCCCCAGCGTCCCCGGGCTCCGCTGCGAAGGCAGCGGCCGGCGCGGTGGCAGCGGCGGGGAAGTGCGAGGCTCATCAGCTGCGAGCAGCAGACTTACGTTCCTAGCACGCGGGGTGCTGCGCTCGCGGAGCTGGCGTGCCCCGCTGACGCTTCGGCCGGGGGAGTCTCACATCGCGGCGCCGCGCTGGGCGAGCAGGGCAGGGCAGGGCAGGGCAGGCAGGACTCCTGCGCTGCTGGGCTCGCCAGAGTCTGGCGGCCCGCACTGGTCCCTCCTCTAGTGCCGCGCACAAGCCAATGGCACGCCGTCCCCTCCCACGCTCCTGGCTGCCTCGCCCCCGAGGTGGCCAGGGCGGGCACAGAGGGGTGGGGGGACCCAGGGCTGCATCCGAGGCCTTGTCGGAAGCCGCCTGCTGGGGGCGCAACCCTGCTTAGCCAGGGGATCCCCGGTCGGGGACACCCTGACGCTACGCCACCCAGGACTTTCTCGGAAGTTCTGAAAACAGCGCCCCTTTCCCGGGACTGCAAACATCCCTCTATGAGTCGATGAAATACTCATTCTCAAGCCTAGGCCGGTGTCTAGGAAGGCAGGGGCCGGCTTTGATTGGCAGCACCCCCTCTCCCGTAGTGTGAACCAGCACGGTTGGATAATAATGGTCACTGTTTGCTAAAACACTTTCAAGAATGAAATTTTTGCGTTCTCAACAGCCTAAGAGGTATATAGGACTAGCCCCAGTTCACAAATCCGTGAATCTTAATGCTTAGCCTAGACCTGTAGATGATGGAGAACCGGTGCTCTGTCAGCCCAGGTTGTCTCCTCAGCTTGAAGTGACTGCCAAATGACAAGGACTCTCACCCCACGAAGACCTTCGACCTCAGTTCCTGTGCTGTCTGCTGCATGTGTCAGGGCTGGCAGGGTCTTGCCAGAGGCTGCAGTATATCTGTTGGGGAACCAAACAGCCTTTTATCTCAGTCCATGCCCAGAGCGTTTCCTGGGGTCCTGGGAGATCTTCAGGAGCCTGTTAGCCTAAAAGACAGTCTCCTACAACACCCTGTCCCCTGCCTGGCTCTTTATAGCTGTTGATCACCCAGGGCCTCCCTCCCGCTGAGAGAAACCAGGGGATCTTGTCCTCTGGACTGGAGGTAAGTAACCCCAGCAGGCCTAGAGGGAGGGTGGTGATGGAGAGAAGCGAGGTAAAGAAGTGGGGCAGAGAGGAGAGAGGCTGCCCCCAAACTCCAAGTAGGTATGCCTCTGGCTGCTGAGGTTTGCTTCGCTTTTCAACTCCAGGCTTCAGAACCAGAATACCTGGGTTCAAACCCTGGCTCTGTCCTTTAGCATGTCCCTGGGCAAGCAAAGTTACCTAACCTCTTCAAGTCTCCTTATCAACAAAATGGGCGTGGCTTAAGCAGGAAGTTCTCTGTGGCTGTTGCTGGGATTTCCAGTCACTGTCACAGCCCCTGCTTACCAAGTCTGACAACGTATGAGGTGCTGAAGTCCCAGGCAGGCTCCATGGCCCTCCCAACAGCTGGGACTGCACAGGAGGGGCTGTGCCCTTTGTAAGGAAGTAAACAGAACAGTGCCTGGTACGTCGAAAGCCTGCTCTCAGTGGCTGTTAGCCTCCTGATTACCAAGGCAACTAAACTCCCTTCCCACAGTGCTACCCGATCATGCTGAACACCTGGCTAGTGATGGCCAGTAATGAATGAATCACACAGCCAGTCATGTCTGTGGCTGTGAATCGGGTTTGTCTCGAGGTGTGCGGAGTGAAATGCACAGCCAAGCCTTCTGTCCCTGACCAGGGCCTTCATCATGGTCTGCTCTCCAGACAGAGATGGGATGAAGAGTTCATTGTCACACCATCTGTCCCTTTGTCATGCAGGGCTCTGTGTCACTGGAACTGAGTGGCATCCCTGAGCATCCCCTGAGACTTGGAGACAGCTCCCAGTGTTCCACCAGAAGCAGGACCCGAAGGCAGAATTCCAGAGGCTGACTTGTTTTAGAAGGAGTGAATTCACTGTCACTGGAAGCATACAAACAGAGCCAAAGGCGGAGCCGGAGAGGATCACCAGTGGCAAGGCACCCTTCAGTGGTGCTTGATGTAGACAGAGCCTCTGAGCTCTGAGTGTCTGTGTTCTGGCGTTTCCATGTCCATCTATAAGGAGGTGGGAGCCCCACAATGGTTTGCAAAGGAGGTATAGCTATGCAGATGGGCCCTGTATGCCAAGTAAGTGCTGAGTCCTGGGGCCTTGGAGTTGATAGACAAATGTAGCGGCATTTCAGATATATTTTAATAAATAAAGACTGCCTGAAGTAAAACTGAGAAGAAGTTGTTATGGATAATGGTCAAGAAAAAAGCTAAACAAAGGAAATTAGATTCAAAGTTCTTGGGTTTTTTTAGGGGTTTTTTGTTTTGTTTTGTTTTTCCGTAGTCATATCAGGTATGTCTTCAAGGTCAACAAAGACAAAATTTAAATACATAGGTAATCTTCAGTACTTCAGAGATCTACAGAATATAGCATTTAAGATGTTTTAATAACCTAGGTTATTCTTTTTTATGACAATGAGACATGTCTGCTCCTTGATAGCACCAATCTGCTTCACTGAAGACAATGGACACTGAAGAAACGCCATACTTTCCTTGTGGCAAAAGTAAACCACTGGGCAGGAAAATGCCCCTGCCTCAACTGCTCACATTATGCTCTCTTAATGAGACAAGCAGGACACAAAACATCCTGTTTCCCAGAATAGTCTGTTGACTGCTAGGCCCATAGTCTGAAGATGGAAGCCCCAACATTGCAGAGAACTTTGGGTGACTGTCCAAGCAGTCACCTGTTTCTGTCACTACTCACATTTTTTGGAAGTCGCTTGCTTGCACTTCCTGCTTACTCAGCTAATATTATTTCCTTCTCGGGTCTCTGAGGGAGTTGAAGACTAGATAACTATACTCATTGTTTTCCTTATTTACCTGATTCAGAAAGCAAGCTAAGATAGAAAGTAACTTAGGTACAAGATTTTGAATTCACCAAAATAGGATAAATATGGAACATTTTCTATGAATTTGTCAAATGCAAATGGACTAGACATTGTTGATGTATTTATTGCCTGTATCTATTATTTATAGTCATTGTACTTATTGTATATAGTTTTCTTATATTAGTTATAGCCTTCTTTTTTATTAGACAAAAAGGGAAAATGTAGTGGAATTTCAAATGTATTTTAATAAATAAAGACTGCCTGAAGATCTGAGAGTAAAACAGTCCCACTGGTCGGCCTTACAGACCAGGTTATGATAACACACACCTTGAATCCTAGTAACCATAATGATACACACCTTTAACCCCAGTAGCCATTTTAGTTGCCATAGAAATCAGGCGGTGCGTGCCTTTAATCCCAGTGGTGCACACCTTTGATCCCATCCTTAGAAGGGAATATAAGAAGGGGAAGACAGCTCTCAGACACAGTCTCCTTATGAGATTCCAGGTGGCAGGATCACAATCTCAGAGTGAGGTCAAGGTAAGAACCAGTGGCCAGCTGTTTTGCTCTTCAGATCTTCAGATTGAACCCCAATATCTGACCCTGGATTTTTATTAATCGTGCTTCAGACAAGTGGTATCCCTATTCCTATAGGATTATCTACCTCTTGGGGGGACAGATTTGTATCCATGATCTTGAGAAGGGAAGTAGCTCGAAGCCTCAGCTGATAGACTGGGAGACAGAGAGAACAGAACACAGAGCTCAGAGGGTATCCACACCAGCACCTCCAAGTGCAGAGCCCTCTGATGGTCCTCATCAGCTCTCTCTGGCTTTGGCTTGCATGCTGCCAGACACAGAGTGCTCGCTGCTACTAAGGCAGCCTCTTCTTAACTGAAAAAACAGTGCTGAGTGGCAAGAGACCATCTACCCATCTTGCCGTCCATTTCCCCTAGAGTGCCGACCTCTGTTCATACACTTCTCCAAAGTAATGTGCATTTGTTTAAGAACATTTCTAAGGCCACCACTCAGCCATTGACATGTCCTCAACCAATTAATGGAGACAGGATGGGGTGTCCTTCCCAGAGGTTCCTGGCAGTGTAAGAGAAATGCATGCTGAGCCCTTTGTCCAAACGTGTTTCTGAGTTACCTCATCTTCCCATTGGCTGAAGGCAAGCTTACCTGGTTGGGCACGTCATAACATGAGACAACACAGATATTTAGCCTGTGTGGATTCTGAGGGTAAAAACTACTCAATGCTCCCTGTCCTGGTGACCCTACATTGCACCTTGGAGGGAAACGGACATACAGCCATCTTTGCTCTTTAGAGCTTGAAGAAGCCAGTGAAGTGACTGGATAAGAATGTTTGCCAAGTGGAAACTTGAGTTCTCATTGTTCCCTTAGAGGCTGGCCTCTGAACATGCTGAAATGTTCTACTGAAAGTCTTGGGAGTGGGGCTGGAGTTGGGGAGCAGCCAACCAGTGAGGGTCACTCCTACAGAGACCCGGGCAGCTGCTGCTCCATCTGTCTTATCCCGGGCTTCCTCAGCAAAAACGGCAGAGCCTCTGTGCCCTAGAGGGAGGGTGTATGGGCAAGGGTGTGGGTGACGGTGCCAGGGCATGTGCAGGTGGGCGTGAGCAATGGGGGAAGGGCATGCAACTCACCTCTGGACAATGGTCCAGAGGATATGCCTTCAGTGAGCAGGGCATGGTGACACATGCGCAACTGTGATCCCAGCGCTCCAGAAATGGACGCAGGAGGGTCATTCTCAGCTCACCATGAGTTCAGGGCCAGCCTCAGCTATATGAGACACCATCTCTAAATGGAACAAAAAAACAAGGCGCAGGTTAGAGAGATGGTTTAGTAGGTAAAAGGCTGGCTGAACAAGCCTGATGATTTGAGTTCTATCCCTAGACCCTATGTTAAGGCGGAAGGAAGGAACTGACTTCTGCAAGTTGTTCTCTGAGGCCAGCGTGAGTGTCATGACATGGTACTCCCATCACACACGTGATAATAATAATAACAGTAATAATTAAAAACAAAGGTGCTTACAGTTAGAGCAGAGTTAGCGGGGAATGGAAAGGCTATGGGAGCTAGCCCTGGACATGATCTTTAGAGCATGGCCCAGGCAGAAAGGTCTCAGCAATGCTACCTCCCGGGACATGCTGGAGGACAGGACTGTCTGAGTTCAGTGGGAGTTGAACCTGGGAGTACTGAACTTGACAAGCATGGTTTAAATCCTGGCCATGGGACCATAG